TAAATGCAAAAAGTGATCTTGAATCACATTTTTTTTTTTTTTTGGCTCCTGGATCAGAGTGGGAAAAAATTACTATAAAGGACATTTTGGGGACAACTGGTGAAATTTGAATATAGTTGTGTATTAGAGAATAGTATGTATTCATGTTAAATTTCTGGATTGATCATCATTTTCTGGTTGTGTAAAATCATCTTCTCACTCTTAGAAACTACACAATTTTGATGGAAAGACACATGATTATCTGCAACTCTCAAAAAATATATACACATATGTATATGTCTATATGCATACATATATATATATAAGATAAAGCAATTATATGTGACTGAACATGAATTGGCAAATTTGAACAAAGGGTATGCGAAAGATCTTTGTCCTATTCTTGCAACTCTTCTATAATTTTGAAATTATTTCAAAATAACACGTTAACAAAAGTGAAATATTTGAAATGTTTGAAAAAGCTAGAAGCCTACACTGAAATTATTTTCATCAGAATGGAGTCTTTTCATTGTATATTCGACAGAAAAAAGATTGATTCATTGATCAGTGGCTTGTCCACATCAAAATTTGCTGATTATCTTTCTTCGTAACATGAATATGTTCTTTTGTAGTGTTATTCCCATGAGGTCCAATTTTCCTAGGCAAATTTTATTATCTCAATTTTGTCATGCAGATGTAGGGTCTTCCATCAATGTTTAGTCAATATTTACTGGACGCAGTGTTAGTCTTTGTGTTTTATTTTCTGTTGCTTATTTCTACTAGGTAAAAGTTATTTTAAGTTTTGCAATTTCCAGTGTTCCCAGTAAGCTGTAATTCTTCAAACAGGTTTTTCCCCCCTAAAATCAATTTTGTTGTGTATAGTTTAGAAGGATTCTCTAACCCTGGCCAGGTATCTGAATTTCCTGGGAGCTTTTGAAAAGTACAACTTTTCCAGCTTCTCTTCAATCTCAAGATTCTGATCCAGGCGGAATCTGGATATTTGTATTTTTAAAAGCTCCCCGCCTCTCAGCTTCTGTGGCAGTCACTGGCCCATCACTTGGTGTGGTTATCACCTTGCCTTGTATTATTGGTTCTTAAACTCTTTGGGCCTTGCCATTCTATTTTAACATACCATTTCCCAACTTAACTGTGAGGTCATTGAAGAAAGGGACTGAGCAAATGACTTCTTTATGGCCAGCACAGCTCACTGCAATTATTAGGTAAGGCAGCAAAACAATATTAGTTGATTGATTGTTGGCGCAACCAAAACTTTGAATAGCAACATCAAGAGAAGGAACTTTAAAAAAAATTGTGAGGCCGGGCACGGTGGCTCACACCTGTAATCCCAGAACTTTGGGAGGCTGAGGCGGGCAGATCACCTGAGGTCAGGAGTTCGAGACCAACCTGGCCAATGTGGTGAAACCCCGTCTCTACTAAAAATACAAAAAAGTAGCTGGGTGTGATGGCAGGCGCCTGTCATCCTAGCTACTCGGGAGGCTGAGGCAGGAGAACCCGGGAGGTGGAGACTGCAGTGAGCCGAGATCGTGCCACTGCACTCCAGCCTGGGCAACAAGAGCAAAACTGTCTCAAAATAAAAAAAAAAAATTGTGCAAGAATATATATAACACAATATTTACCATTTTAAACATTGTAAGTGTACAGTTCAGTGATATGAAGTGCATTCACATTGTTGTGTAACCATCACCATTATTCATCTTCATAATTTTTCATCATCCCAAATGGAAATGCTACACCTATTAAACACTAAATTCCCATTACCTCCTACCTGCCCCTGGCAACCACTGTACTACTTTCTATCACTCTATGAATTTGACTATTCTAACCACTCTCATATAAGGGGCACCACACAATATTTGTCCTTTTGTATCTGGCTCATTTCACTAGCACAATGAATCTCAAAGATTCATTCATGTTGTAGTGTATATCAGAATTTCATTCCTTTTCAAGGCTGAATAATATTTCATTGTACAGCTATACCACATGTCATTTATCCATTCATCCATTGATGGACACTTGGGTTGCGTCTACCTTTTACCTATTGTGAATAATGTTGCTATGAATATTCATGTATAAGTATCTGTTCAGTTCTCTGCTTTCAATTCTTTTGGATAGATACTCAGAATTCGAGTTGTTGGATCTTATGGTCATTCTATTTCTAACTTTTTGAGGAATCACCATAACATTTTCTACAGTGGCTAAAGAAAGACTGTTTTTAAAAGCTGCTTTAATAGAGGTAGAATGATGATTGATCCTTTCTGAATTTCATGCTAACTGTTGAGAAACAAAATCCATACATCTATCTTTAGCAACCTTAAAGAGTCATGAGCAGTTACCCTTGCCCCTTTGTTCTATGGGAAATTGATTGCATTAAAGGCAATTCTGCACACCTCCTCGAATCTGGCCCTTTTTGTCATGTGACTTTGCAGTTCTCACTAAAAAAGTAGACTCTTTCCCATTCCTTGAATCAGAGTTTGGCCATGCAACTTTGGCCAGTGGGATGTTAGCAAATTTCACATAAGAAGAGACTTTAAAAGTGCTTGTGCAGATCAAGCACAATGGCTCATGCTTGTAATCTCAACACTTTGAGAGACCAAGGCAAGAGGACTGCTTGAGGCCAAGAGTTCAAGACCAGCCTGGGCAACATGGTGAGACCCTGTCTCTACAAAAAATTTAAAAATTAGCCAGGCATGGGGGTGCACACCTGTGATCCCAGCTACTCAGGAGGCTGAGGTGGGAAGATGGTTTTAGCCCGAGAACTTGAGGCTGCAGTGAGCTGTGGTCACACCACTGCACTCCAGCCTGGGTGATAGCATGAGACTCCATCTCAAAAAAATAACTAAGTAAAAATAAAAGTGCTTGTGCAACTGAATTTGCACTTGCTCTTGCACTTATGCCTTCACCACGAGAATACAGTTGGCCCTCGTATCCATGGGTTCCACATTTGTAGATTCAACCAACCACAGATTGAAAATATAGTTAGGCCTATGATGGTTGCATCTGTACTGGGCACGTACAGATTTTTTTCTTGTCATTATTCCCTAAACAATACAGAATAACCACTATTTACATAGCATTACATTGTGTTAGGTATTGTAAGCAATCTGGAAACGATTTAAAATTTACAGGAGGATGTGCATAGGTTATAGGCAAATATGACACCATTTCATATAAGGGCCTTGAGCATCTGTAGATTTTGTTTTCTGTGGAGGTCCTGGAACCAGTTATTCATGAATACCCAGGGACAACTGTATACCCAAGCTAGTCTGCTGGAAGAATAGGAGAGAAAGGTGAAACAGAGTTTAGTTATTCTAGCTGATCACCACATGTGTGAGCCCCCCGCCAATAGCCAGCTACCCCCAGAGAGTGAGAGAGCTCAAAGGAGACTAGAGGAACTATCCAGATTAAATCTCCAACCCGCAGACTCAAGAGCTAAGTAAATGCTTATTGTTTTTTGTAACTGAGTTTTGGAGGTGGTTTGTTACACAGCATTACTGTGGCAATAGATAACTGATACATCTACCCTCCTCCTTTGCCAATATGCTGCATTTTCTGCACCTGTCAAAGGGTGACGAGACAACTAATTTTAGTGACTTCCTAGTGCTGGCATGAGAAGTAAATGCCAGAATTGGCCAGGTCTAGCATCAGAGCAGTTATAACCTAAAGGTGGATTTCTCGCTTCCTCCTTGAAGGTTACCCTCTTTTTTTTTTTTTTGTTCTGAGGCAGAGTTTCACTCTTGTTGCCCAGGCTAGAGTGCAATGTCACGATCTCAGCTCACCGCAACCTCTGCCTCCCAGATTCAAGCAATTCTCCTGCCTCAGCCTCCCTAGTGGCTGGGATTATAGGCATGTGCCACCAGGCCCAGCTAATTTTGTATTTTTAGTAGAGACAGGGTTTCTCCATGTTGGTCAGGCTGGTCTCGAACTCCCGACCTCAGGTGATCCACCCGCCTCGGCCTCTCAAAGTGCTGGGATTACAGGCGTGAGCCACTGCGCCCGGCCTTACCCTCTTTTTTAGTTTATTGGGAAAGAGAGCTATAGAGGGCACCTGTTTTCCATTCCCCCCAGTTCTGGTAGCAGTGTCTCAATTTTTCTTAAAGAAAAAGCCTTCTCTCATGCTCAGTCTATGTGTTCTGGGTGGACTTGCTCTACCCCTGACTGCTGTCGGCAAATGACCCAGACCTGGCCAATCATGTATGCCATCCCCTTGGCAAGATGGTCATGTGACAGGCCAAGCCAATGAGATCCAGATTTAAGAGCTTGAATGGAAAGTTTTCTTTTCCTTTGAGATGACTCTGAGGATATAGTTTAAGCTTAGAGGAGCCAAAGGGCGCCATGTGGAAAGAGCTTGCCTGAATTCAGCTAACACAGAGGAAAGCAGAGCCCAGCTATGGGAAGACACAGTCCCAATGACATGGTTAGAACCCCTAGATCCAGCCAGACCTGAAGCTGTACTTCCTTTGAACTTTTTAGTTATGTGAGTCAATCCATATTCTTTCTGCTTGCTTTGTTTTGTTTTGTTTCTGTTAAAATAATTTAAGGAAAGACTCTGTCGCTTGTAACTGAAAAAGTATTCATCTTGCATTCCTCCTCGGTCACCTTCCTGACTGCATGTTCCTTCTCATAATGGGCTTCTCTACAGTGCTCTTAGCCCCACTGTTGTGAAGAACCACTGTGCTTATCCCTGCTGGATAACACTTGGGATTCCCAAGCTAAGTCCACCTGATAAAGTGATACTACTTCCACACAGGCTATGGGAACAGGGAGAATATTGGCAGGTCTAGGCTAACCAGGCATCCTAGTTTGCCCTGGCCAGTTCTGGTTTATGCCTGTTGTCTCAGCTTATTTACTAATAGCAACCCTTTCACTATCTATAGTGTCATTGCTTGAGTAATCATTTATATAGTCAAACTTAGCAGGTCATACTTCCTTTTATTGTGTCATCCCTTTATTGTCCACATAAAGCTGACTGGCAGAGAACAAAGATAGGTGGGACAACGTCAGCTATCCCATGTGCTCCTACAATGTAACCTCATCTCTCTTCCTCAAGGGCTGCAATCTAATTCTCCTCCACTTGAATTTGGATGGACCTGCAACTGCTTCAACCTGTAGACCACTGTGAAAGTGATAAGGAGTAACTTCCTAGACTGAGGAAGTCTAGGAAAAGACAAAGTCGCTTCTACTTTTTTCATTAGATTGCTCATACTTGGATCCCTGAGCTGTTCTGTAAGAGGTCCAACTTCCCTGAGGTCGCCATGTTGTGAGGAAGCTAAGCCATGTTGAGAGGCCACGTGTAGCCACTCTGGTGGGCATCGGTGGCAGAAGGACTCTAAGATGCCCTCCTCCTTACCCTCATCTCCTGGTATTCACACCTTTGCATAATCCTCTCCTCTTAGTGAGGGTGAGACCGTAACTTGCTTCTAATCAGTGGAATACTGTGAAGGTGAGGGGATGTCCCTTTTGTTACTATGTTACATGAGATTATACCTCCCATCTGCCTAGTGGACTCTGCCTTGCCACTTTTGATGAAACAAGTGGCCATGTATTGGAGTTCCACATGGCAAGGAACTGAGGACAGCCTCTGTCCAACAGGCAACCAGGAACCTACCTCAGTCCAGCAACCCAAAAGGAACTGAATTCTGCCAACAACTATGTAAGTGAGCTTAGAAGCATATTCTTCTCCAGTTGAGCCTTTGATGAAACACTAGCCCTTGATTGTAACCTCATGAGCAGAGTCCTGCCCATCCAAAAAAGTCCTGCCGATCCCCCATTATGTGGGATAATAAATGTGTATTGTTCTAAACCATCGTTTGTGATAATTTGCTACTAATTAGAGAACTAATTCACAGTCTTAGTCTTTGAGTCCTCCCTGCTAAGGTACCAGACATGTGAGTGAAGAGATGCCAGATCATTCTAGTCCCCAGCTTTTGACTCACCTCCCAGCCATTAAGTCCCCTGGTCCCAAACATTGTGGAACAAAGACAAGTCAGCTTCTCCATACCCTGTCCAAATTCCTGGCCACAGAATTCAGAAGCATAATAAAATGGTTATTATTTAAAGTCACTATATTTTGGGGTAGTTTTTAAGATAGCTATAAAGAATGAACCATTAAGTCTCTTTTTTGTTTGTTTGTTTTGTTTTGAGATGGAGTTTCACTCTTGTTGCCCAGGCTGGAGTGCAATGGTGCAGTCTCCACTCACTGCAACCTCTGCCTCCTGGGTTCAAGTGATTCTCCTGCCTCAGTCTCCCAAATAGCTGGGATTACAGGTGCCTGCCACCAGGGCCAGGTAATTTTTTTTTTTTTTTTTTGGTATTTTTAGTAGAGACAGGGTTTCACCATGTTGGCCAGGCTGGTCTCAGACTTCTGACCTCAGGTGATCTGCCCACCTCGGCCTCCCAAAGTGCTGTCTCAATTTAAAACTGTACATTAAATATGACCTTTTCATGATCCATGACATAAATGACCCCCCAGTAGCTAACATCACAGCTGGGTCTTCAGGTCCTTAAGAGCGTCCAGGCAGTTTCCACGGACCTTTTGTCAACTATTGTGCCATGGGTGTAGCCTTGCCCCTGGTTGCCCACCAACAGTAAATTTCTTAGCAATTTAGAGCTCCTATTAAAGATTTCATGTTATTTTGCTTATATGGATTTAATTGAGTTCTAGACAATTTCTCTTTCCATTATTTGGGTACATGGGGATGGTTATGTTCTTCCAGTTTTACTCAATTCAAATCTCTACCTTCTACCTGTTCCCAAAAGGCTCTGGTTAAGGACCTATGTCTATCGGGGAGAAGGACGGGAGGGATGGAGGGAGAAAAGCGTGGTCAGGGAATTCAGCAGGAGGATAGAGGTTAAGCTTTTGTTCAAATCGCACAATCTCATTTTTTTCTCTGAGATAGCAGAGACTCTTACTCAGGAGAAAGCACATCTCTGCACACACATGTACACACACACACACACACACTCCTTGTGCCTTCCCTACCATAGCAGGGCCATGAGATTTTGACTTGCATCTGTTACTTTTAAAAACAATGGAGTCTGGTGTGGTGGCTCATGCCTGTAATCCCAACACTTTGGGAGGCCAAGGCAGTCGGATCACCTGAGGTCAGGAGTTGGAGACCAGCCTAGCCAACATGGTGAAACCCCGTCTCTACCAAAAATACAAAAATTAGCTGGGTGTGGTGGCATGTGCCTGCAATCCCAGCTACTTGGGAGGCTGAGGCAGGAGAATCACTTGGACCCGGGAAGTGGAGGTTGCAGTGAGCTGAGATCACTGCCCTCCAGCCTTGTCAACACAGCGAGACTCTGTTTCAAACAATAATAATAATAATGATAATAATAATAATGCAATACAGTCATGGCTTTGGAGATTCTTCGAAGAAATAAATATTTTTAGCGGAGATTTTTCAAGTAATTGGGGATTACCTCTCTAAGTATCAAAACTTTTATTTTAATAATTTGGAATGGATATCTTTCTGAAATGTAGTGTACCCTTCCCTGCCTCTTAAAGAAAGGATAACATTATTCCCCTTGCCTTTCCTGAAATCTCACATTGAGCACTGCCCCCAAACATATTAAGATGAATTAACTGAGCCCAGGATATTGATACAATAGCTTGGGGTTTCAAAAGGAACACATTGTCTTTCCCCAGATATTTTAGAGCTGTTGAGTATGCATTCAGTTCTTCAGAAGTCAATGTTTGACTATATGAAATGAGAAACAGTCCCTCCATGATGCAAATATATCCTTCCTACCAAAAGACAAATGTAATCCAGACGTCCCCCAGGCTTGATCAGCCTGTGGGTAGAAATGAGGTCACACTTTATTTATTTATTTAACAAATACTTACCTAGGGCTTGCACTGAGCCATTCCAAGTGCATTAAGATCAACTGATGTTTGACCAAGATGCCAAGAACACACAATGGGGAAAGGACAGTCTCTTCAACAAGAGACACTCAGGAAAATGGATATCCACATACATAAGGACATGAGACCCTTATCTCACACCGTATGCAAAAATCAACTCAAAATAGATTAAACATTTAAAAGTGGACCTGAAACTGTAAGACTACTAGAAGAAAACGAGAAACATTCCATGGCATTGGTCTGGATAATAATTTTGGGGGGATATGAAACCAAAAGCATATGCAACAAAAGCAAAAATAGACAAATGGGATGACATCAAACTCCAAAGTTCCTGCACAGCAAAGGAAACAATCATCAGAATGAAGAGATAACCTAAAAAACAAGAGAAAATATTTACAAACCAAACATCTAATGAGGGGTTAGTACCCCAGATATGTAAGGAACTCAAGTAACTCAATAGCTATAAAATAAATAACCCTATTAAAAAATGAGCAAAGGGGCTGGGTGCAGTGGCTCACACCTGTAATGCCAGCACTTTGGGAGGCTGAGGAGGGCAGATCACGAGGTCAGGACATCGAGACCATCCTGGCCAACACAGTGAAAACCTGTCTCTACTAAAAATAAAAAAAATTAGCCAGGTGTGGTGGCACACGCCTGTAGTCCCAGCTACTCGGGAGGCTGAGGCAGGAGAATCGCTTGAACCAGGGAGGTGGAAGTTGCAATGAGCCAAGATCACGCCACTGCACTCCAGCCTGGGCGCCAGAGCAAGACTCTGTCTTGAAAAAAAAAAAAAAAAAGAGCAAAGGACCTAGACATTTCTCAAAAGAAGACCAACAAATGGGCAACAGGTCCATGAAAAAATACTTGACATCACTAATCACCAGGGAAATGCAAGTTAAAACCAGAATGAGATATCACCTCACACTTATTAGAATGGCTACTACAAAAAACAAAAATGAAAGATAAGTGCTGGTGAGAACGTGGAGAAAAAGAAACCCTGGCACACTGTTGGTGGGAATGTAAATTAGTACAGCCATTATGGAAAACAGTATGCATATTTCTCAAAAAATTAATAACAGAACTATCATATGATCCAGCAATCCCACAACTGGATATAGATCCAAAGGAAATGAAATTAGTATGTCAAAGAGGTATCTGCACTGCCATGTTCACTGCCGCATTATCCATAATAACCAAGATATGGAATCAACCTAACTGTCCATCAGCAACTGAACGGATAAAGAAAATGTGGTAAGAAAATCGCCAAGAGAGTAGATTTTAAGTATTCTTACCACAAAAAAGCAGGTGAGATAATGCATACATTAAATAGCTCAATTTAGCCACTCTACATCATTTCAAAACATCATGCTGTATACCATAACTACATATACGTGTCATTAAAAATAAATTTAAAAAAATTTTAAATCTAATCCTCCTAACAATCTTATGACGTAGGTATTATTTGTTATCTATCTGTTTTACAAAGGAGGAAACGGAGGTCCAAAAGGTAAAGTAACTTGCTCAAGAACGTGAAGCTCATAAATGAATCTGGGTTTTGGACCCAGGAGCCCAACTCTGGAGCCTGTACTTATGTTTACTTTACTCTGCTGAATCTCACTGATGTGGATCCCCTAGGTGCACAGTGGAAGTGTTTGAGTCGCCTTAGTAAGGTTCCCTCCTTCTCTGTTTATCACTATTTCCCAAGTCCCTGGGAGGTGTCGCACATGGGCTGTGTTCCCTTGGATTCTGCTCCAGAAGCACAGGTCTGCCACTGCATATTCTAGGCCACTAACTATTATCACAACAATGCTATACAACAAACAACCCCAAAACTCAGTGGCTTCAAATAATGAGCAAGAATTTGATTCACGAGTCCATAGATCTGTGGACATGTTCTTTCTGTCTTAGCAGGGATTGCTTCGTGTCTGGGCTTGGCTGGTTCTTAGCTAATCTAGGTTGACCGGGACAAGCAGGGCCACTTGATTCTGGTCCACATGTCTCTCATCTTCCAGCAGCCTAGCACAGGCACCTGCACTTGGTAATGGCCGATGAACAAAAGTAGACAAGCTCAATTGTGCAGACACTTTTCAAGTCTCTGTTTAAATCACATTTGCTAGCATCCCGTTGGTGAAGACAAGTCCCATAGCTGACCCTGAGCCAGATTGGTAGAATATGCACAATTACATGGTATCAGGCGTGAATACGGGAAGGGATAAAGAACTGCGTCCACTAATGTGTTCAATCTACCATACTCATCACTGATTTTCATTCTTTTCAAAAAATACAAGAATAAAATTAAATTTCAAAATAAGAAATCATTTAGATAAAGCTGCCAAGATTCTATAAATTAAAACTGTGCTCTGAGACATGGTAATGAAGAAACCCAAATAAGGGGCAATATACACAAATGGTTTCTTTATAAAAGGAAAACAGCAGCATTCCGCTGTATCAGTAGGAAATGAAACTGAGAATTCAGAACTCAGCCTGCTGATGTGCCAGGGAGGCCCCACATTCTAGTGGCAAAGTGGCAGTCAGCAGGGTAGCCATTGTGTGGGCCTAGTGTCTGAGCAATAATGTTAGCACAGAAGTCACATCAGAGCAGGCCGCCAGCAAAACTGACTCAGTTAGCAACTTCTTAGCATATCAATGTGTCATTTTGTTTCTCTGGCAAAAACCTCAAATGTTGGATTGCCTGATTCAAAATTGGCCCCTAGGCAACCTCAGTTTTTCCAGGAGAGTACAGTGAATATCTGTTTATTCCCATTCCTGGAAAGCAGGAACTGTCATTTTCTGGGCTCACACAGCCTGCACACATAGCCTGGTTATAACTTTTTCTCTGAGAAATGGGGGAGCCCTGTTAAGACAGCCAAGCTGGTCTCTAGACCATGAATCTCTCTAGCGATCCATGGCCCATTGCTTC